TAGCTCTGGAAGCTCCCATTTAAGTAAATAGTCTATTTAAACATTTTCTGAGGAAGATGAAGCCAAAAAAGGATATCTCTGACTATTAGCAGTGCAGCTATCAGCCAAATTTTATAAAGATAAAAATTACATGTCTATAAATACATACATATGTGTATGTATATATATATATATATATACATATTTTTGCCTATTTTTTCCCCATGGGGGATAGATCACATTCATCGGGTCTCAGGGGGCTCTCCCAGTTCTGTCCTTGGGGTTGACTCCTGTTGGTATTCAGGGGACTAGGGGTTGAACTAGGTTGGGTGAGCTGCATGCAGGGCTGATACCCTTATGCCTATGCTATCTCTCCAATTCCGATATATATTTTTGAGTTTTTGAGGCAGGGAGAGGGCTCTCAACCAGTACTCAGGGAACCCTGCACTCACTCCTGTCAACTGGGTTCAGGTCTGATGATTCGATACTTCAATTATGGGCCTCCGGCTGGTAGGCCCCACGGTGCCAGAGACCACCAGGGCACAGCTGAGCAGTCATGAGTTCCTCGGAACTGAAGTGGGTCCTGGGCATGGAAAGCATGCACCCAGGACCCCATGCTGTCTCTCCAGCCTGATTTCTATTTAATTAATATTTATTTGGTTTCTGGGCCACACCCAGCTGTGCTCAGGCCTTATCCCTGGCTTTGTGCCCCAGGATCATCACTCCTGCTGGGGCTTAGGACACCATATGGGGTGTTGGGGCAGAAGTTGGTTGGTCATATGCAAGGCAAGGCCCCTGCCACCAGCTATTCTCTCTCTACAGTCCTTTTTTTTTTTTTTCCAGAGAGGCCGTATTTTCTCTGCTGAAGGGAGAATCAAAGTGTGCCAGGGCTTCAACTGAGGGCTTTGCAGGTGTGAACTCTGCTACCTGAGAGAGCCAGTGCAGGGTGCTTACATGTAAGAACACACATGCACACACTGCTACATCCAGGGTCTTGCAGTGGGAGGGTGAGGTGAAGGTACTCCCAGGTATGAAGACGGTGACACTGAGTACTTGGACCCAGGTTTTTGCTTTTGTTTTTGTTTCTCAGGCTACACCTGGCGATGCTCAGGGGTTACTCCTGGCTCTGTGTTCAGTAATTACTCCTGGTGGTGGTTGAGGGACTATAGAGGGTACCAAGGATCACACCTGGGTTGAACATGTGCAAGGCAAGCGCCCTACAAGGTTTTCTGACTGATGAATCCATGTGTTTCCTTTCTGTTTAGATGAGGGCTTTAATTGTACACACATACACACACACACACACACACACACACACACACACACACACCAAACCTTCATTTTTGGGATAAAAAACAGCAGTCTACTGGGTTGAACCTCATGAAACTGCCTTGTGTAAATGCCTCTGACTTAAAGAACATTGTCATAGGTCTTCACCTAATGTGCTTCCGATTGCTGGGTCCTGGACTAATTTGGGTAAAGTGGTACCTTGGGGACTGGAGAGATACTAAGAGGGGAAGGAAACTTACATTGCATGCAGCGGACCTGAATCAACTAATTTAATTTAATTCACGGCACCACATGTAGTCCCCTGAGCACTAGCAAGAGTAAGCCCAGAGTACAGAGCCATGAGTAAGCTCTGAGTATAGCCCCAAAACCACAAAATAAAAAAACAAAGTATCAAACCAACGTTTCTTTTTCTTTGGACGGGGGAGTGGAGGGTGTCTTGGGCCACATCCAGCATTGCTTGTGGCTTGCTCCCGGTTCTGTGCTCAGGGGTCACATAGAGACAGGCCACTGGATGTCATGATGTGGGAACTGCAAAGTGCCCGGAAAATGCCATGTTTTTAGAAAGGGCAACGGACTCTCAGAGGGGCCACAAATCTCCACCACTGACTGCGGCTATTTGCCAGAAAGAGCCAGAAACTGGAACTGAGCCGCTCTCACGCTTTCCTCCTCACCCAGAAAGCCTCCCTCCAATCCCGCACCCCTACCCCCAACCCACTCGGGCTGGTCTGTCTTCATCACAGGCCAGGAGAAGGTGGGAGAATAGCATCTCCACAAACTCCTGCTGACCTCTTATTGGGGGGCAGTGGAGAGTGGGGGCAATGACACCCAGCGGTGCTCGGGGAGCTACGCTTGGCTATTCTTGGGGGTATCTCCTGTGAGTGCTGTGCTAGGATCGGCCACATGCAAGGGAAGAGCCTTAACTCCCCAGTCCTCTCTCCAGCCCACATGTTTTCTTCTCTCCAGTATTCCCTGAGCAATTCATCCCCGTAAACTCATACTCACATCTTGGGGGGGGGGGGTGGGGAAGGAAGGAAAGCCAACCTTGTGTGCCCCTGTAGAAAGGAATTGGGGCAGGGGGAGGAGGCAGAATTCAGAGGAAACGCTGTGTCTGGGGAAAGCCGTGGCCCTGATTCCGAATGACCCACTTAAAAGGGCCGTCTGCTGCGGCCCTGCGCGCACAGCTCTCAGCAGACCGAGTGGATGGTGTATGCGTGTGCGCACACACGGGCCTGTGGCTGCACACGCACAACTCTGGCTGGACTGTGCACATTTGCAGAGACTCCCTTTGCAGAGTCTGTCTCCCGGGAAGTGGCCAACTCAGGCCGGCCACAAGTAGTGTCAGTCTCTGTCTGTCCATGTCTGTCCGGTGCTCCCCCTTCTGCCACCCTCTCTCCCCTCTCACGAGTCTTGGGTGAAAGAAAAGGGAAGGTGGGGGCTGGAGCGATAGCACAGTGGGGAGGGCGTTTGCCTTGAATGCAGCTGACCCGGGTTCGATTCCCAGCATCCCATATGGTCCCCTGAGCACTGTCAGGAGTAATTCCTGAGTGCATGAGCCAGGAGTAACCCCTGTGAATCTCTGGGTGTGACCCAAAAAGAAGAGAGAGAGAGAGAGAGAGAGAGAGAGAGAGAGAGAGATAGAGAGAAGCTCTCTCCCCTATGAGGGGCTGGTGGAGGCAACAACAGAATGGAGTCCAGAGCGTGGATTCAAGTCCCACTTCTGCAACAAAATGGATTATGACTTCATGGGAATCAAGTGTGGAGCTCCCAACCTGCAAAGCACACTCAGTCCCACCCCTTCACTGGGGCAAATCCTTTCCGTTGGTGCCAGGGATTAAACCCAGGGTCTCATATACATAAACAGGAAAGTGCTCTATCACTGAGCTACATCACCAGTCTATTTGAGAGTTAGTGAGATCATCTCAAGGTCCCTTTTCTTTTGTGGGAAGGGCTTGGAAGGGTTAGGCCACATCTAGCTGTTATTCAGGGCTTACTCCTGGCTCTGTGCTCAGGCATCACTCCTGGTGGATCTCAGGCGACCATATGGGGAACCAGGTATCAAATCCAGTCATGATTTGATACCTGTATGAGACAAACATCTTATCTGTTATCTGTTTGGCCCCAAGTATTTTAACTTTTTGAGTCACACCCAGCTGTGCTCAGAGCTTACTCATAACTCTGTGCTCAAGGGGGCATTTGGAACTAAACCTGGGTTGGCTCTGTGCAAGGCAAATGTCCTGCCCACTGTACTATCTTTCTGGCCCCCACTTTCTCAAAAAATAATTATTTTTTTTTCCAATTTTCCCCTTACACTTTATATAAACATTGTGATTTACACGGTTGTTCATGATGTTGTACAGGCATTCAATATTCCAACACCAGTCCAACCACTATCACACCTTCCCTCCACCATTATCTCCAATTTCCCCAACCACCTCTTAAGACTTTCCCACAGCAGGCTCTCAATGATTTATTTAGAAGTGCTTGTTACCAGTAATTTGCTAAAAGAATGATCAAAAAATGTTTCCTTAGAAGAAAGTTAGTGAAGGTTGTATCTCACCTTGAAGCCTTTAATTAAGTCCTTGTGTAAGAGATGACTGGGCTGGAGTGATAGCACAGCGGGTAGGACGTTTGCCTTGCATGCAGGACGTTTGCCTTGCATGCAGCCGACCTAGCTGACCCAGGTTTGATTCCTCTGTCCCTCTTGGAGAGCCTGGCAAGCTACCGAGTGCATCTTGCCCACATGGCAAAGCCTGGCAAACTGCCCGTGACGTATTCGATATGCCAAACACAGTAACAAGTCTCACAGTAGAGACGTTACTGGGCCCACTCGAGCAAATTGATGAACAACGGGAGGACAGTGCTACAGTACTACTCATAGTAAGGGTTGGAGTCATACATAGCACAGCAGGTAGGGCGTTTGCCTTATACGCAGTCAACCTGGGTTCGATTCTTCCATCCCTCTTGGAGAGCCTGGAAAGCTACCAAGAGTATCCCGCCCACATGGCAGAGCCTGACAAGCTCCTGAAGGCGTATTCAATATGCCAAAAACAATAACAAATCTCATAATGTTACTGGGCCCGCTTGAGCAAATCGATGAACAACGACGAACAACGGGAGGACAGTGACAGTGATAAGAAATGACTAAGAGGTTGTTAGCGGTTAAGCCTTCTGTGTTTATGTTTTGTTAATCGAGGTTGGCTACTTTCTACATTCCATCTCATCCACTCTGTTGTGCTACTCCTGGTTAATCGGTGATGTACAGTTTGAGCTGTTGTGTGGCCATCTGGCCCCAAAGTTTAACTTCTTGAACTTATCTTTGGTGATGCTAGGAATAAAGCAGGGCCTCACAAGTACAAGTGGCTTTCCCACTGAGCCACCTCCCTGGGGATACTCCTGGTGCAGTGCTTCCTCTTGATGCTGGGGAAACATGTAGCGCGGGCTCCAACCTGGACCTCTCCCATGCAAAGCAGGGGTTCCGGCCTACTGAACTATGTCTCTGGTGCAACCCCTAGGATTTTAACACTTTTTAAAAGACAATGACTGGAAAAGAGGTAGAATCAGGTGACTGACAAATTCATAGGAAAGCAGAGAAGAGAGGAATGGGCTATGGAAGGGCCCGTCTGAAGTGAGTTTGCAGACAGGAGTCCATGCCAGCTCCTGCAGACAAATGTCCAGGCTGAGTGGCCACAGAGGGGAGGTGACGAGATGCATGCTGGGACAGGAGCACTTACCATCACAATGTTGGCCAGATGGGCAGAGACGAGCGCATACACCCCTCCAGAGGAGCCCACGACAGGTGCGGTCATATCAGCCACAGACACTGCCAAGGACCCTGGAACAGAGACAGAGGTAATTCAGGAATGCTGGAGTCCATTCCCTAAGACAAACCCTGGCCCTGGGGTACAGCAGTCGCAGGAGTCAGACCCTGGAGCAAAAGGCTTTCTTCTCCTCATGCTGCATCTCCAGAGAGCCTCTGAATGTCTTTGGTGCTTTGATTTCTTATGGAGGGGGGGTTACAACTGGCTATGTTCAGGGGTTACTCCTCGCATGGTGCTCAGGGGACCATATGGGATGTTGGGGATGGAACCTGGGTCTGCCATGGGCCAGGCAAACGCCCTATCTACTGTACTATCTCTCTGACCCCCAGCCTCCAAGAGAATAAACTCAAGGTGGTTCAGAACCCTTTGCTCTGAACTTGCTCACACAGGAAACAGGGTCCATGAAGCACAGTGAGGGCCAAACTTCCAGTGCACCTGCCCTCCCCTCCCATACACAGTGCTCTGGGGTTCTGGAGCAAGCTCAGAAAAAGCTGCCACAGAAACAGCTACCACTTTCTTGGTCATGAGAGTCCAACATGGCCCAGCATTTCATGCTCTCCTCTGCTTTCCGACAGCCGCTTGGAGGCAGAGGCTGGGAGCTTCATTATGGGTTTTCATGGCAAGAAGGAGGTGGACTGGGGTTTGAATCCAGGCCAGTCTCACCCAAGTCCTTGCTCTCAGGCACTTCCACAGCTGATGCAGAGGTCAGCCCCTGCACACACGCACGCACGTATGCACACACATACACACACACGCACCCATGCATGCATGCATGCACACAGCATACACGTACACATGTGTACACACATGCACACACACACATGCACGCGCACATGCACACACACACATGCACGCGCACATGCACACACACACTCATGCACGCATGCACTCTCAGCCTCACCCTCAGATCCACCTTCACCCTCCAACCTGCCTCCTGCAGTCCACTCACAAACCAGAACTTCTGAGCAAGGGGTGGAGATGGGGGGTCTTCTCAGGAAGAAACATGTCCTTGAAGGGTCTCTAGGAGGAGAGAGTGATGACGTCATCCCCTCTGGGGAAACGAAGGCCAGAGACTCTGGCTGTGGGGGTGGCAAACTTTTATCTTGGGAGGGAAGTTGAGTGGAGAGGAGATGGGAAATGTATTGCTCTGGTCTCATTTAGGGGTGATCAATGCTTTGGCTTCCAGGGAAGGACAAGGGAGTCTAAAAATAGCTGGGCGGGAGAGCCCAGGGCTCAGAGGCTGAGGTGGCTGGCCTGGGAGGGGCCCAGAAATCTCGGCTGGCAAATGCCCGCAGGCTCAGAAGCCAATTAGCCACTGCCTGGGAGGAGAAAGGTGGCCGGGCACAAGGCCAAATCCAGCAGGTTCTAGAGGGTGGAGGGTCTAGCCCGAGGAGGCTGGGTCAGCCCAGAATGCAACAGCTGCCACCTTGCCACCTCCTTCCACCCCCTCTGAACCCCTCTCCCTTATAAGCCATCAGGATTCTGCCGGGAAAAGGGGATCCTCATGGCAGATTTCTGGTCTCATGAGGGATGAAATCTCTGAAGAAAAAAAAAAAAGCAAAACAAAGTGAGAACTCCCAGATCCTCCCCTCCCAGGGCAACTATAAATCATTTCCCTCCCCTTTCAGGCTTCCCCTCCAGCTTTAATTAGGTATTGATCTATTGTCTGATAACTTTCTTAAAAAAAAAAAAAGCCTACCCACAGGGTCAGCCATATATAACAGAAGACAGGGGGAAGAGAAAAGAAAGAAATAACCACAAAAATCCCTGGGTGGCAAACAGACCGGCCGGGGGATCTGCATGACAAAGGGTTCCCACGCTCTCCGGGCGGGCTGGCCGGGGCTGCATTGCAGGGCTGCTCAGAGCCGGCTGCAGGGGCTGCTCATTAATTACCACAGGGCCAGAGGAAGCCCGGGCCGCTAACCCGCAGCTCCAGCTCCTTCATCCGTTCATCCCGGCCACCTCCCTGCCGGGGAGCAAAAGCAGCAGGAAAGCCCCCAGAAGTCCTGACCTTTCTCTCACCCCACCCATGCTTGAGAGGCAGACCCCAGGTCCACCGGGCAGCTGGGGGTCAGGCAGAAGGTTAAAAGCGGGGGAGCGTGGCTGCCTAGTTGTGCAGCCTTGGGGACCGCTCCTGAATTCCTAGGGCTTTAGTTTTCACAGCTATGAAGGCAATGAAATGGTCCAAGGCTGCGGAGAACTTCTGAATTTTAGTTTGGGGATCATACCCGGCTCTGTGCTCAGTGCTCAGGGCTCACTCCCAGAAATGCAGTGCAAGGCAACTGCCTTAATCCCTGTACCATCTCTTTGCCCCTGTCCAGTTTTTGGGCCCTGAAACCCTCTTTTCTTTCTTTTTTTTTTTTTAAGTTTTGGTTGGGGCCACACCAGTGCTCAGGGCTTACTCCTGGCTCTGAACTCAGGGATCACTCCTAGTTGGGCTTGGGGCGGGGGGGCTTATGGAGTACCGGGGATTGGATCTGGGTCAGCTGTGTGCAAAACAAGCAGCTTAAGCCCTTGTACTATCTCTCTGGCCCCCAAAACCCACTTCTCAAAAGAAACCTTGCCCAGACCCCCTTCTCTAGGAAGCCGAACCCAGAGAACCTTAAACTGGGGAACAAAGTGTGGCCCCTTCTTCAAAAGCGCTACAAATAGATCTGAATTCAAGAATACTGGCTTCAGATCCAGGGTCTGGGTCTTAGAGAGAGGCTGTTCCAGAATCTCAAGGGGGCAGGGGGCTTCCCCCTCTGTTTATAGCACGAAGACTATTTCAAGGGATGATGATTAGCCTTGGACTAGAGGGACTGGTAGAGATCAATTACGAACACGGGCATGGATGCCCATCTCATGAATGATAAAGGCTGTTGCTGCCAGGATTAATTCATCAAAGAAGGCAGGATTCCTCATCTGCCGCGGCAAACACAGTGGATGACGTGGGGCAAGGTCAGGCTGAATTCCACAGAGGCAGGGACAGGAGGCAGGGAGAGAGGAGCACACAGGACGCATGTGCCAGTCCTCTGCACAGTGGCAGAACCCAAAGACCTGCTGGACCATGGACTTTCTAAAAAAAAAAAAACCCTGGGTGAACGCCAGCACTCTGGAGACTGGTGACCCGACCATAATGCACGCCATCAGCTGCGATCATTTCAGCTTGGGAAATTTAAAGCTGGTGTTCCTCAACATGTCCCCTCACCATCCCAAAACAAATTCCAATGAAAATTGGCAGAATATTTACCCTTATGCAACATAAACGTTCATATGTGTGTTCACTCATTTATTCTACAAAGACTGGCTGTTTAACACATGCCAAACCCAGCACTAGGCTTGGGGATACACGTCACCTATAAAACTTAAGAAGAGACTGCTTTTGCTTTTCATTTTTATCATTACTGGAGTGACAGCTTAGTGGGTAGGGCGTTTGCCTTGCACGTGGTCAACCTGTGTTCAATTCCTCCGGCCCCCTTGGAGAGCCCGGCAAGCTATCGAGAGTATCCCGCCCGCACGGCAAAGCCTGGCAAGCTCCCCGTGATGTATTCGATATGCCAAAAACAGTAACAAGTCTCACAATGGAGACATTACTGGTGCCTGCTTGAGCAAATCGATGAACAACGGGAGGACAGTGCAGTGACAGTGCATTACCATTATTATTTTTTTGTTTTGTTTCAGGGCCACACCCTGTGATGCTCAGGGGTTACTCCTTTTTTTTTTCTTTTTTGGGTCACACCCAACGATGCACAGGGGTTACTCCTGGCTCTTCACTCAGGAATCAGTCCTGGCAGTGCTCATATGGGATGCTGGGAATCGAACTCGGGTCGACTGCGTGCGAGGCAAATGCCCTACCCGCTGTGCTATCGCTCCAGCCCAAGGGGTTACTCCTGACTGTACTCAGGAATCACTCTTGGAAGTGTTTGGAGAACCATATGGGATGCTGGGATTGAATCCAGGTCAGCCACATGCAAAGCAAATGTCCTCTTGCTGTGCTATCTCGAAGGCCCAAGACTATTTTTTCAAGTATTTAAGTTGTGGAGCCAGAGCCATAGTATAGCGGGTAGGGCATTTGTCTTGCAATTGGCTGACCCAGGTTCTATCTCCAGCATCCCATATGGTCCTCTGAGCACGCCAGGAATAAATCCTGAGAGCAGAGCCCGGAGTAATCCCTGAGCATCACCAGGTGTGACCCCCATGCCCACTTCTCAAAAAAGAAGTATTTAAGTTGTTAGTAAATATTATTAACCAGGAGAAGGCCAAAGAGATAGCACAGCGGGTAGAGGTACTACCCCTACCTGTTTGATCTCCCTGTTAGCCAGGAGAGAGTCAAACACTAGCCTCAAAAGATTGGTTAGGATACTGGGAAAGGAAAGTTTTCTGCCTCTAGTCTAATATTTTTCTTTTTTTAGCTTTGGGACAACCTGGTGGTGCTCAGGGGCTGCTCCCAGCTCTCTGCATGGGGAACCATGTGGTGCCAGGGACAGAACCTGGGCCTCCCCCATGCAAAGCCTGTGCTCCGGCTCCTTAAGGCATTTTCCATCCCGTCCTCCTTAGGTAAGGCAGCTGAGCAGATCAGATCACGTCGCCTCTCTGAGCTGCCTGTACAACAGATGCCAGGACTTGTCTCAGAAGACTATTATGACAAACACAGGAGGTAACACACGTGACCCTTTGATGGCATGCCTGGGGAGTATCAGGCATGCTCAGCAGAGATTAGTTATTACTGTTACAAAACATGACGCCTGGGATTTGGAATATTTCCACTGGGCAGGAATTAGAGCAGGGCCAGAGAGCTATCAGAGTTCCTTGGTTTCTGAGCATAAATGATCAGTACAAAGAAAGAGGCTGATATTTGGTTCTATCAACACTATGCCAGTGGTTTATTCCAGTGTTTCTCTCTTTTTTTTTTTTGGTGGGGGGATGGGGTAGTATGGCATGCCCACCTGTGCTCAGAGCATACTCCTGGCTCTGTGCTGAGGGATCACTTCTGGCAGTGCTCAGGGGACCTTATGGGTTACCACGAGATCGAAACCGAGTTGACTGCATGGGAAGGTACAATGCCTCTCCTATTTATGATTGTCCCATGTGGCCCCCTTAGAGTATCCTGGGGACATACATATCAGGGGCCATATGGTCCTTGATTGAGGAAAGCCAATTTAGAGCACAGTTTATGGGGTCAGACTGCCTAGAATGAGCCCAGCTCCCCGTTATGGGATTACTGCTCCCACTTATGCTCCCACTTATGTTTTCTTGGGCAAGTGATGTGGCCTCTCTGAGCATTAGTTTCTGTATACGTAACGGGTGGAAAGTAGAGGTATCTTCCTCACAGAGCTGAAAGGATGCATGTGGTCTGCATGGGGAGTCCCTGCATAAATATTCCCTCTGGACTCAGGGTCTGGGCAGCCCCGGGGGATCCATCAGCTTAGGCCTGGTGGCTAGTGACATGATAGGTGTTGGCCAGCATGCCCTTGGGGGTGATCAATGACTCTGAGGGAAGAGCACCTTTCTTATACAGCCCTGCTCCGCGGTAAATTCAGTGGGGAGCCCCCTGTGCCTGGGCCCTGGGGCACCCTGAGGAGGGGAGACCCCTGCCATCTCCCAGGCTGCGTGTCAGCTGGCTCAGCAAGGCCCAAGTCATCCTGAATCTTATTTCTGTCTTCTGGGTTGTTGGCACTCCCATCGAATTGACTGCAAACTGCAAGTGTTACGAGTGTCTTTCCTGTTCCTCGCCATTAACCATCTGGGTCTCTGGGTAGCTGGGTAGAGAAAATGTGGCCATGAATCCCCAGATGTCGGAACTTGGGGCTGTGTGGGTGGCTGAGTTAGTGTGCTACACGGGGATGCTCCTTAGATCTCAGCTGGACTCGGTGGGTGGGCGGGGAGGAAGCTGGCGTTGGTGCTGTCCAAGGTGGCCACAGAGGTCAGTGAAGGAGTAAGTGCAGGCAAGCTCCCGGGGCAAAGGGCTTTTGCTCTGGGGACCACTCAGATGGGTAGAGGGGGATGGGAGGGAACTGGAAACCACTTCCGTTATCCAGGTTTACAAGGCCAAGGGATACAACCCCTTTTCCTGATGATGCTGACTTGAATGCCACTCAGAAAGGATTAAGATTTTACTTAAACACACACGCAAAGCTCCCTGGGGCACAGCTGTCAAGGTGGAGAGCTGAGGCAGCAAATCTTGTTCTTTCTTTTTTTTTTAATGCCAGCAGTGAAACTGGATCCATCATGAGGGAAAGCCTGAATTCAGAGCTGGGTTTGGGCGCTCTGCCTGCAGTAAGTTGCTCTGCTCTCCCCGCTCACCCCTCGTGCCTCCCCTCCTCCTTCACAGGGTCCCCCATCCTGAAGGTCACTCTGACCTGCTTCCACTAGCAGACAAGTGCTCTTGATCCCTCAGCCACACTCCCCTGGAGCAGGAGGGCAGGCAGGGGGTTCAGTTTTGCCAATGACAAGACCTCCTTTTGGGTACAAATGCCAGACTGATCTGGGGAGAGACCAGATCTCACCACACCTTGGGCATCTTTGTTTGATTGTTGTTTGGGGGCCACACTGGCAGCGCTCAAGGCTTACTTACTCCTTGCTCTGCACTCAGGACTCACTCCTGGAGGCTCAGGGGACCATGAGGGATGCTGAGGATCAAACCTAGGTCAACCATATGCAAGGCAAGTGCCCTACCGCTGTTATTCTGACTCTACCTTGGGTGTCTCTAAAGGAATCTCTGTGCCATTACTCCTGGCTCTGCACTCAGGAATTACTCCTGGCGGTGTTGGGGGACCATATGGGGATGCTGGGAATCGAATCCAGTTTGGCCACATGTAAGGCAAACGCCCTACTCAATGTGCTATCGCTCCAGCCTCACCCTTGGCTCCTTGACTGCTACATCCATCACCTCCCTCAAACCCTCCTCACCCCCTGCAGAGAGGCATCACTGGGCCCTTCCTGAATTTTAATGGTCTGGAGAGGTTAAGAGAGTTCTCCACACTCACAAAGCACCAACACGGTGGCACCAAGAGTGAACTGCTGGTCAGTCTCCTGTGCATTCTCCTCTACTCCCTGGGCGGCAGGCGCCAGGTTTAGCCTCCTGGGGAGGAGGAGAGGTCTGGCTGGAGGACAGACCCCACAGAAACAGGGTCATCCTGCTGACCTGCCACAACGCCGGCCACATAGACGAGCCCGATGCGGGTTGCTCCGTGCACCATCTCCAGGGGCACCCCCACCAGGAGCTGCAGCACCACATTGAGTCCAAGATGTTCTACCCTGTAAGACAAGCCCAATTAATTAATAAATTCATTCATTCATTCATTCATCTGCTCACTCATCAAATACAGTCGGCCAAGGTGTTGGGGATCTCACGAGCAAGACCTTGACACTGACTTTGAGGAGCTTGCTGTGGGGTGGGTAAGAATCACAATGCACACAAATCATCTGGGAAAGAGCACAGCCACCCCACTTCCTCTGCCCCTGGGACAGCCACATGCGCAGGGCCTGGGCAGTGCCAGCACCCATCAACTGGCACATGAGCAGCTGAGGCTCAGAGAGAGGCAATGGCTGGCATAAAGATACAGATGATCAGCGGCCCACCCGGGCCCCAGCCGAGGTATCCGAGGTGCAGGGCTGTTGCCTTCCCAAGTGGTGTAGTCTAACTCTCTCTAACTTTCTCTCTCTCTCTGGTTTTTGGGCTACATCTGGCAATGCTCAGGGGTTACTCCTGGCTCTTAACTCAGGAATCACTCCTGGCAGTGCTTAGGGGACCATATGGAATGCCAGGGATTGAATCTGGGTTGGTCACGTGCAAGGCAAATGCTCTGCCCCTAGTACTATCCTTCTGGCCCCTTTAGCTCTTTCTTGTATGTCAAAGAGCTCTGGGTGGTGAACTGGCCAACGAGCTGGGGAGGAGACAGCACTGAGAACAGACTGCTCCAGAGAGGACACAATGCTTTGTGAATAGACACTCTAAGTAATTTCTAGAGGTCCTCAAGAAGACTCTTCTGGGCCAGAGGGACAGCTATAGGGGCAGCACACATGCACTGCATGCAGGAGCTGGGGTTCTATTCCTGGCATCTCATACTTCCCAAGCACTGAGCGGGGAGTAACCCCCAGAGCACTGCTGGGTGTAGCCCCCAAAAGAAGACTCTCGCCATATGTGGAGATCATCTAGGTAGGAAGGTTCTTTCATTGTTCGATTTAGGTATGGGTGGGGCTGGAGCAATAGTACAATCGCTGGGTGTTTGCCTTGCACGTGGTTGATCCCCAGCATCCCACATGGTCCCCCTCAATCACCACCAGGAGTAATTCCTAAGGACAGAGCTAGGAATAATCCCTGAGCACAGCTGGGTATGAGCCAAAACAAAACAAAATTTAGGCATGATGATTTACAAGAGTTTCAGGCACTCATGGAGAAAGGCACTTTCAATAAATGTCTTAGTTTCACAGATGGGAGAATTTACACTCACACTTTGTGTAGACATTGGGTCTGGTGGCTGAACACATTTTCCCTCTTTTCTTTGGCACTGGGAAACTGAAAACAAAATTGTAACCTACCTCTATCGATTATAGAACCAGGGCTGGAGAGAGAGGACAGCAATCAAGGGAGTTCAAATCCCTAGCCCTACATGATCCTTTGAGCACTGCCAGGACTGACCACTAAGCACAGATCTGGGAGTAACCCCTGAACAGCACTGGTGTGGCCCAGCACCTCCCCACCCCTGCCAAGAGACTATAAAAATCACTTGTATATATATTTGTTGATCTCACTGGCGTTGGCATTTTCCATCTCTTATTTTTTCCAATCTCATTAATCTCTCAATAATTGACTCATATTGATTGGCAGGAACATTCTGGAAATATCTGCTTAATTAAAATAACTTCTTACGCAAGGATAATTCTTTTGTTTTGCCTTTGGGCCACACCTGGCAGTACTTAAGGGCTACTCCCAGCTTGGTGCCACAAAGTCTTCCCAGAGGTACTTGGAGGTCCATGAAGGAATGGAGATCAAATCCAGGCCTCTTGCACACAAAACATCAGCTGCAGCCCATTGAGCTATCCCACCAACTCCTATAGCAATAATTCTGGTCACTTATTTTTCTACAACTTTTCCACCATCTTTTGAAAAAGAGAAATACCAGATAATAATTTACTTATGTAATTTGGCATTTAGATGAGTTTCAAGGAGCCCTCATAACTCATGTGTCTGGGTAGCACTGTAGCACTGGCCTGTAGTACTGTCCTCCTGTTGTTCATCAATTTGCTCAAGTGGGCACTAGTAGCGTCTCCATTGTGAGACTTGTTGTTACTGTTTTTGGCATATCAAATACATCACGGGGAGCTTGTCAGGCTCTGCCATGCAGGCGGGATACTCTCGATAGCTTGCCGGGCTCTCTGGGAGGGATAGAGGAATCAACCCGGGTCAACCGTGTGCAAGGCAAACGCCCTACCCGCTGTGCTATCGCTCCAGTCCTGTGTGGCTGGGTAGATAAAAATAAGCCCCAAAGGAAGAAAGGCAGCTCATGTGGGAGAACACAGGCTTCACATGTGAGACTCTAGCATTCCTAGCACCACGTGCTCCCTGAGCACCTCAGGAGGTGACCCTGTCCCCTCTGAGCACTGCAAGGTCTGGTCCCCACAATAATGAGAAAAATATAAACATAAAACAAATAAATAGGGTTGGAGAGGGAGTACTGGGCTGAGGGCACTTGCCTTTCAACCAAACCCGATTTCATCCCTGGCACAGCATGGCACCCTGAGACTCACAGGGAGTGAGGACAAAGGCCCTGAGAACCATTGGGAGTGACCTCAGAGCAACACAACAACAAAAGCAACTGAAAACTCTGTTTCATCCTGGCTGGCTCTCCAGACAATTTTTTGTTATTGTTTTCTGGCTGTGCTCAGGGCCTACTCCTGTCTCTCTGCTCAGGCATCATCATTCCTGGCAGTGCTCAGGGGACCATATATGACGCTGGAGATTGAACCCAGGTTGGCTGCAAGCAAGGCGAGTTCCTATGTCTGCAGTCCGGGGATCACTTATTTTTTCAGGGACTCTGGGCCTGGAAGATGGGTACTCACCCCGCGTGCATGAAGATATAGGTGAGGTAGCGCCAAGCTTGTGCTCGGAGCTGTGGGTGGTAGACCAGGGAGTTCTTCAGGTAGCGTGGGTGGCTCACCTGCAGCACGAACTGACCCAGCGACACCCCATTATAGAGGAAGAAGGCCACCTGGATGTGAGTGGGAAACAGAGAGCACCGGCTGTCAGGTGTGGAACTGCCCCCACCCCCTTGGGCCTCATGTGAGCGTGGCTTCCCGGGAGATATTCCGGTTCCTGCTCAGACTCAGGGAGACCTCTGCGGCCAACCTCACTTTCAAACATCTCTCACCCCACTTCTGTTGCATTATTGTTCAATAGGCACCAAATGGTCACAAGGTTCTCCCTGCCCACACTTCCTCCAAGCCATGCAGGAAGAGCCTGGCTAAGATTTTTCTCTTTCATCACTTTAACATCTCACATGGGCTCTTGAAGAGGGCGGGCTATCCCAGAGAAGCTGATTTTCTGAAAAAGGTGTTGAAATAAACGTGGTCTGAACAGGACCACCTTCATCAGTTTTAAGTATGTGGCTCAGATGCAGGATGGCACTGCTGTGTTTCCCATCTTGAAAACATTTGTGCCTACCCAAGAGTAACTCTCTGCTCTCTGTCCTTCCGTTCCTGGTCACCACCACCACTCTGCTTTCAGTCTCTCTGCTGCCGGATTCACTCTGGCTGGGTCACAGTGTTTTTGTATTTACGTAGGTGGCAGATTTTGTCACGCTCCACCCAGGCTGTGGCATCTATCAGAATTTCTTTTTCCAGGGCTGACTGATAGTTCACCGCACCACTATGGCATTATTTTGTTTATCCAATCATGCTTTGATGGACATTTGGGCTGCTTCCACCTTTGTTGTTGTTGTTGTTATTGTTCTTTTTGGGTCACACCCGGCGATGCACAGGGGTTACTCCTTGGCTCTGCACTCAGGAATTACTCCTGGCAGTACTAAAGGAACCATATGGGATGATGGGAATCGAACCTGGGTCAGCTGCATGCAAGGCAACCACTCTACCCGCTGTGCTATCACTCCAGCCCGTTTCCACCTTTGAACTATTGTGACGAACTGTGACAAGTATTAAGTGTCCACCTTGCTACAGATAGAGACGTACAAATAGCAATTTGAGTCCCTTTTCCTAATATATTTGGATATCTGTATAGAAGCAGAATTCTAGTTGGATCACAGAAAATTGCATGTTTCGTTTTTGGTGACTTTATTTATTTGTTTTTGTCGGGGGGTGGGAGGTGCTCTTGGTAGTGCTCTGAGATAACTCTGGCTCTTAGTTGAGAAATCACTTCCTATGAGCTCAAGGGACCATATGGGCACCAGGGATTGAACCTGGGTCAGTGTGTGCAAAGCAAGTGCTCTACCCACTGAACCATCTCTCCAGCCCTGGATTCAGATTCAGGCCTGCTTTCACGTCCCCTCACCCCCGCCGCCCAGTCCTGCAGCCAGGTTGCCAGCCGGCGGTTAACCAGGTGTGACCCCCAAAACCCCCCAAAAAAAGTGATCAAGTGAGGACTGGAGAGATGACTCAAGAGGTGGGAGCACATGCTTTGCATAGGGGAGGCCCATATTTGATTCGCAGCACCACCTGGTCCCGAGCCCTGCCGAGCATGCTCCCTCCCCAAAGTGATAACCATGCAGAGTGAGTCTGAGCCCAGCAGACAGAGCTATGGGACAAGGCTGTAAGGTGCTGGCTTGAGACCTCAAGGGCGCGGAACTGGCGATGCTCCGCCCTCGGCTGTTGGACCCTTTGGGCTCTGTGGGGGCCATTCTGTCCACCTAAAATTATGTGGGTGGCTGGCAGCAAACGCAGCTTCCAAGGCAGCTCATTATTATTGGTCCCCAAGTAGAAGTTAATAAATAGATCAACACAGTAACTGCTTGGAGAACGGGTCCCAGAATATCTCAGAAAAATTGCAACTTCAACATTCCTCGGATGAAGCCATAACAACAAACGCAGGAGCTCTGGTTGACGGACCAGACCTTCTGATTCTGATTCCCCACAAAAAAAAAAAAAAAAAAGGAAAAGGAAAAGAAGAAGGATGCTGTGAAGCTTAACAATCCTGCTGTTTGACTAGGCAGGAACTTCACAAGAACATATGCAGGGGCGGTAATTAGGCCTGTGGCTCTGGAAGAGAAACGATGGAGATTATGAAACGCCAAGGGAAGCCATTCAGGAACGGGGGCCCACAGGTTCTCGGGCTGAGCAGCTGGGAAGATTCAGAACTCCTCACGCATGGGCACTGAGTCCGAAAGGGGCGACTTTGGAGGTGATTGCATAAGCAGGAGCCGATCTATCTGCACTATACATGTAGGATTCCCTACGGGGACAATGTTCTTATGAGGCTCCCCATGTACCTGTCCAGAACCCTCCCTCCTATAGGCGCTGCTTTTCTTCAGAAAGTACCACCTGTGCCAGTGTCTCGTTCTAAACAGAGCAGATCTGATGGGAGGAACAGGGCCAGCCGGCTCGTCTCACATTGCAGGTGAGAGACAGGAGAGACCCAGAGATAAATGACCTGCGCACCTTTCCCTCACATGCAGGAGAACTCAAGTTGCATTTAATGAGCTCGCTTGGCTAAATGAATCCCACAAAGCTATGAGCATTTTACATTGCTTTCGTTGCTGGATTTTTTTTTTTTCAGGGAAATGGTCATATGGGGACTTGGCTGCAGTAACTATGACTGAAGTCACCACCTCGGACTCTCTGGTGTGGGGGTGGTGATGACGGCGCTTGGACGCCCAGTGATAAGGCCTGACTCAACAACAACTGCTACTTGATGGTCCACTGTTGCCTTTTTGGGGGAGGAGATGCTGCCCTTGCCGCATGATCTCAGATACCCTCTTGGCGCCTCTCCCCCAAGGCCGAGCTGCCACCCCCCCCCTCCTTGCCTCAAGCAGCGTGACTGTGATCATAAACCACGGGGGCGGGCAACAGGTGTAGCTGTCGTAGTACCACTTCCGGTCAATCTCTCGGGGCAGAGTCTCATAGGCCACGTGGCGGATGAGCCGCTGCGAGAGGTTCAGCCCCTTCTCCTCCAGCAGGGCCTTGCTGCACAGCCGCCGGTTCCCCTGCAGGATGGCCTGGCGGAAGCTGTTGGAGCGCTTGTTACTCATCTAGAAACGGGGTGGGGGAGAGCGTCAGGGGTGGGGGACAGTATCAGAACCGGGGTCTCAGGGAAGCCCAACCCTCATACTCCTGGGAGCACATGGGCCCAATCCCAACTTCCTCTTTTTTCTGATGGCTCTCAGAAAGCAAGAGTTTTGGGGCGCTAGGGTTCAGGGGCTCCACATTGTTTCTGTCTCATTTAACATATCACCCCGTTGGGTTGGAACTATGAAATCCCCATTCTACTGGCTGAAAGGGAAAAAGCAGAGTTTGAGGAACCCATCAAGTTCAAACTGAAGAAAGTGTGTGTGTGCATGTGCGTGTGTGTGTGTGTGTGTGTGTGTGTGTGTGTGTGTGTGTGTGTGTGTATGCTTCTTTTTGATTTGGGGGCCACATCTGGTGATGCTCCTGTCAGGGGTTTACTCCTGACTCTGCACTCAGGGATCACTCCTGATGGAGCTTGGGGGACCATATGGGATATCGGCAATCGAATCTGGATTGGCCGCATGCAAGGCAAGCATGTCACCTGCTGTATTATCTCTCGGAAACCCCCTCCCAAGTATTAACTGTCACTTTACCTTTACCTTTCTGCCACCCACCAAGTCACCATCCAGTATCACATTAACTTAGCACCCACTGAGTGTCAGACACACGGGCTATGGGAGTGCTGTCTGGGAGAGCGGAAACCACGGCTGTGAGCAAAGGCAGCTGTGGGACCATGGCCGGGGGGGCGGGGGGGGGGAACCTGGTCTGGTTCAGTGGGCCCCAAGGGCTTCACAGAAGAGGAAGCATCTTAGGAAGAATGAAGAGGAGCAGGAAGCCGCATCCTCAGACACACCAGCTTGGCAGCCTTCCTGGTTTGGGTCAAGCTGACTCCGGAACCAGAAACCCAAAGCTGTGGCTCTGGGAGGCTCTTTGGTATTCAGGAGAGCTGAGACACAGGGTGACCCCAGGACTGGCTGCAGTGCCCAGCCGAGAGCATATCTGCAGCTGTCCTCTGCAGAGCCCCAACCCGCTCACCACAGTCCGCCTGACTCCCCAACAGAGAAGTTTTGCTGGTTTCAGGACCCCTGGGGCCTCTGTTAGTTCCCCCCACCTTACTGACACCCCCAACCCCCATACCCACCCAATTCCACTCTAGACCCACAGCAGGAGGCTCACACTCTGCTGTGCTCAGGGCTTACTTCTGGGGCTCTGCCTTCAGGAATCACTCCTGGCGGGGCTCGGGGACCATACGGGATGCCAAAGATTGGGGTCAGCCCCATGCAAGGCAAGCAAGCGCCCCACCGGCTGCACTATCACTCCAGCCCCCTGGGGCAGAGTATGATCCTCACTATAAGGACAGGATTTGGGCTTGGAGAGGGTAAGGGATTTTCTCAAGGGCCTGGAGTTAGTCACTCACGGCTGGGACTTGGTCCAGATCTGCCTGGCTCCGGAGTCCTGGCTTGCCCATATGGTGCTCTGGCGCCAACTGGAGAAGGGAGCCTCATTTTTCTGGATGGCTACACCTATTCCAGGCCTCAGGGATGGTAGATTTCAGTCCTGACCAGAAGGGAAACTGCATACCCGGCCCCACCAACCCTGACTACTCAGCTCAAAGGCAAGGTGGTCTGCGCTGAGGGAGGCCTGGACAGGGCACTGTGGAAGCCCTGGCTGGGGTTCATTCATTCCACTTAGGTTGTGGTGGCGAAGGACTCAAAGGATGCAGAGGGGCTTACCCAGGGGAAGGGCTGTGGGGGGCGTGGGACAGCACTTGTGAGGTCCTGAGTTTGATCCCTGTCACCACATGTACTCTGAGCACTGTCGGGAGTCCCCCACCCCTACCCTGAGCCCCCTCAACCAAAAGCTTTCAAATGCATAATCTCCTTGGAGCTGGAGCCATAGTACAGTGGAGAGGGCACAGCCGACCTGGGTTCGATCCCTAGCATCCCATATGGTCTCCCGAGCACCACCAGGAGAAATTCCTGAGTTCAGAGCCAGGAGTAAGCTCTGAGCAGGTGTGGTCCCTAGCCCCTAAACAGACAAAACCCCAAATACTTCATCTTCCTTAATACAGCAGCCCCAAAAGAGGGTGTCTCCTGACTTCATTTTACCAAAGGAAAACCAGGCTTAAAACTGGTTGCCTGGGGAGGGGTGGGCAGGAGAGATAGCACAACGGGTAGGGCGTTTGTCTTGCATGCAGCTGACCCCGGTTCGATTCCCAGCATCCCATATGGTCCCCTGAGCACCGCCAGGAGTAACTCCTGAGTGCAGAGCCAGGAGTAACCCCTGAGCATTGCCGGTGTGACCCAAAAAGCAAAAAAAAACCCCAAAAAACAACAAAAAAAAACCCCAAAAAACTGTTTACCTAAGGGCTAGAGTCATAGCACAGCGGGTAAGGCATTTGCCTTGCACGCAGCTGACTTGGGTTTGATTCCCAGCATCCCATATGGTCCCCTGAGCACCACCAGGAGTAATTCCTGAGTTCATGAGCCAGGAGTAACCCCTGTACATCACCGGGTATAACCAAAAAGCAAAATAAAACAAAACAAAAAAAACCTGGTTACCTAGTGAGTGGAAAAACAGAGGCAGGAGTGGGATCAGACTCCCTGATGCCAGGCCCGGGGTCCCCTGCCCTGCCCAGCTCACGGGACCCCCAAGTGTGGTGAGCCCCATCTTAGTACTTAGTACTGGTCTTAATACTGGTCTCCTGGATAGCGGAGCTCACAGGAACCTGGGCAATTCAGCCCAGTTGGCTATTCCGTTTCAGATACTGAACAGACCAGATGGGACGGTAACAGGTCACCAGAGACTCCCCAGCAGGCACAGCCCTGGCTGGAGAAAGGCACTGCCATGGCCCGGCTGGCACCCGGCTCTGCCCGCAGATTTGGGTAGGGCCCTATGCTGCAGTTGCCGTGCTGGGCTGAGCGTCTGGATGGGCCTGAGCGGGCTCATACCCCAGGCCTGGTTTCTGAAGGCCCAGCTCAGTGCCAGGTGACAGGGCTCACTTCTCCTACCCATCCTGGGAATCCTGACTGTCCCCTCAACCCCCTGCTCAGCACAACGTGATCTCCTGACCTGCACAAGGTCTGCTCTTTGGAGAGTGGCAGATTCCTTCAGCCTTCACTGTCCTCCAGCTGCTCTCTGCTAGTATGCTGACCCCATGCAAAGAAAGGCCCTCAGAAAAGGGTCAATTAAGACAAGCCCAAAGCCTGGGCATCTGGGATGCACCTACAGCTCAGCAATAGAGCACAGCCTTGTATGTGTGAGACCCCGGGTTCAATTTCCGACACCACACACATGCACACACACACACATAACAAAATTATTGTTATTAATTTTTTGCCATTTGCTACATCTTGTGGTGTTCAGGGCTTTCTCCTGGCTCTGATCACTGCTGGTGGTACTCAGGGGAGCATATAGGGTGCTGGGAATCAAACCTTGGCCTTATGCAAGACAAGAGCCTTACCTGCTGTACTTTTGCTCCGGCCTCATAAAAATATCAAATAAAAGACTAGCACAACTACATCACATACCAAAGAGGTTCCTGGGCACAATAACAGGACAGAATGGTACTGCCCCCCCCCTCCCCGGAGGTCTTTGAATCCTAAGAGTCTGGGAACTTCCCAGCTGTAGCTTCATTCTGGCCCCTCCCTGGTGACAGGAAGAGAGACAGCTGTCTCCATTTCCTCAAAAGGGAAAGTGAGTTGGGACTTTCAGTCTCCAATTCATCCCACTAGTTCAAACAGTTTCTACTGAAAGAAAAATCTAGGAAAAATGCAATGCTGCTGCTTGCTTAACCTTGACTGGACACCAATCAAATCCCACCACAGCAGCCGCTACCAGCACAGCAGTGACCCCCAGTGAGAAGGAAGTCTCTGCTCCAAGACCCCTGACCAGGGACCAAAGTGATCACACTCAGGGCACAGACTTTGCACGTAGAGGCGAAGGTTTGGTTCCGAGTACTAGATGGTTCCCCTAAGCACCACCACTCACTGAACTGGGAGTGGTCCCTGAGCATGGCAGAGCGTGGCTCAAAAATTAAAACAAGACTCCAGACCCCTGGGCAAGATCCCTGGCACCTGGTCTCTTGCTTCCCCATACTCCCAGCTCACCTGCTAGCAGGTATGAGCTCTTACCTTCCCCATGTGCTCCAGGATCCCAGGGAGGTCTAACCCTCCCAGACACCCCTCCTTGGATCCTTCTCTTGCTAACAGTTCTTTTCCCAGCTCTAGTTTTTGGTTGAACTGATGTACTCCCAGCTCCAGTACAGACTAGTTTGAGTTTATCAACATATCCCACTAACCCAATTTAGACCAATAGGAGAGAGGAAACTCCAGGCTTTGTGCAGGAGCCACCAAAAGACAAGTTAAACTCTTTGCCCTCTAAGGTAAGGCCTGAGGGTGTGAGGGCAGGAGCAGCTGCAGCCTCCCTGTTGCCACAATGGGAGGATGTGGAATTGTCAGGGCTTTCCTGAGTGTGGACTGATACTAAAGACAGCAGAAGCCAGAGAACAAGAGAAACTGGGTCCTTGATGGTATCTTTTCAGTTGCTGAAGCCAAAACCTTTCTGGTGCTGAGGCCAATGACTCTTTAATTGTCCAATAGAGTCCTCTTAGGTCAAGGGGTTTCACCCTTCTTACACCAGTGGACAGGTACCTATCCCAACCCCTGTTCTCAGACTGGCAGTTAATAACCACAGTGGTGAACCAGCTGTTTTCGGCCTCTTTATGCCGGCAAACTGAAAATCACTGCTTAAGAAACCACCAAACAGTCCCTCCCAGTAAGAAAGGGTCCCCCAAGCACTCACCAGATTGGCAAAATCCTGGTAGCTAATCTGTCCATCTGCCTGGCTGTCAGCAAGGGCCAGGAGCACCTCCCTTTTGTGCGGGTCCAGCTTGGAGCTGTTGTTCTCCAGGAGGCTCCGGAACTTGCCCGTGCTGATGTAGCCTGTGTTCCCAGGGTCCAGCTGAGGAGAAGCACAGACAGCAGCGGGGTGAGCGGGGCATGGCCCTCCCCCTCGGCCCTGCTCGGGAGATCCCATGTCCACCCACAGTCGCTCACTGGCACATCGCTCCAGTGCATCAGCCCCGAGAGGCCAGGCCACAATGGGGACATTTCCAAGGACCACTTAACATCCAGGAGGGCCCTTGAGACCTTGGAGGTGGTCCCATGAGTAAGGAAAAGGAGGCAATCCCACCGCTCCCCTCCTCCAGAGCTCAGACAAGAAGAAAGCAGCAGCAAGGGAGAGGAACACAGAGAGTGCAGGGGAACAGGAAGGCTGTGTGCAAGTCAGCAGTTGGGGTGCGGCGCCCCCGGGCTTGTGTTTGCATGCTGGGCATGAACACACACGCATGCACACACACACATGCACTCACATGCACACACACATATATATGTATACTCACGCACACACACACACACACACACCCAGGCATGGACCCACACATGCATGCACCCACATGCATAAGCACACATGCACGCGCACACAGGCACACACACATACACATGGACATGCCCACGCAGGCCCCTCCCCACGCTCCCCCAAACACACACCCACTGCAAATTCCTGTACCTCTGTGTGGCGCAGGCTCTAAAGGCACTTGCACATATATGTGGACATGCCCTGTTCCCTGCCTCAGCACCCAAGGCGCCCATATCCAAGATTCCTGGGCAGCTCTACTTCCCTGCCCAACACACACACACACACACACACACACACACACACACACACACGCACACACCCTTCACTCCACTGAGATCTTTAAGAATGAAAACACCTAATATTGGCTGAGTGTTTTCATGGGCCAAATGCCCTTTGAAGCACTTCTCTCTGGATACGATTTCTTTGGCCTCCTCCCACTATCCTGCGATGCAGATCCTATTACTCTGTCCTTATCACAGATGAGGAGAGAGAGGCCCCGGGAAAGTGAGGACAGGTGTGGGGCTGGGGCTGGCCAGGCTGGGCAGCTCAGTGCTGCCTGTACCCTGGCTTCTGACCTTCAGCCCTCCCGGTCACTCTGCTGCTCTGGAGCGAAACGGGAGGAGCAAAGAGGGGAGAAGAAATGAGGGTGCAGGGGGACTAGGAACCGCAGGGGTCCATTCTGCAACAGTCAGGCAAACGGGCCAGCCTTGGGGGTGCTCAGGAGTCGTGAGGGTCTATCAGTGCTCCGAGAGTCACATCACCCCTTCGCCCTCAGCTGCCTTCCTCAGTTGCTAAACAGAGACTTGGGTGGGGGTTGGGAAAGACTTCTGGGCTACTCCTGGTGGTGACTGAGGAACTAGGTGAGATGGTGTGGGGCCCTTTGAACTATCTAGCCATCTCGACATCCCTAATAGTTTTCTGGGCCACATCTGGCTCTGTGCTCGGGGGCCATGCTTGATGGTGCCTGGGAACTTTATGTGGTGACAAGATGCGTGCCAGGTAAGAGCCTTACCTTACATACTCTCTGGCCTCCAGAGATTTGGGGTGTGTGTGTGTGTGTGTGTGTGTGTGTGTGTGTGTGTGTATGTGTGTGTGTGTGTGTGTGTGTATGAACCTGGGGGGCCACGCCCATGTCCAGGGCTTACTCCTAGCTTTGCACTCAGGGATGCCTCCTGGCAAGGCTCGGGGGACCAGATGGAGTGCCAGGAAATTGAAACTGGGCTGGCCATGTGCAAGGCAAGCTCTCTGCCCACTGTGTTATCTCTCCAGTCCCTAACAGGGATTTTAAAGCAGGAAAGGGCCCTCAAGAGCAACAGTTCCGTCCCTCTTGTGCTGGAGGGAAGCCGAGGGAGCAGAGCAGTGGTCACCATCCCTCTGGGTCCCTGCACCAACCAGCCTCCCTGCCCCCCATCTCTCCTGGGAATGGCCTCCCAGGCCAAGGGGCTGCAAGCCTGTGAGGGCCTCTCTCTCCCTTCTTCCAGCCCAGACAAAGAGCCACCTGCTCCCTCTCCCCCCCTGCCGCCTCCAGGGCTCCCCGCTGTTGTCCTAGTGACAGGGGCTGCCCTGTGGCTCCTCGGCCCCCCGCCCCCACCCAGGGCTGCCAGTCCTGCCCCAAGCGCATTACAGGCTCCAGACTGCAGAGAATGAGCTGGAACGCGGCCGAGTCTCCCTGCTCTGCCAAAATGCTACCTTTCATGCCAGGGCCAGACAGGCCTGACAATGGGGGGTCATCGCTACCCTCATAATGAGGCCTCTGGGATGACTGGCGAGGAGGGAGAAGCAGGGAAGGGGCTGTCGCCTCAGTCCCAGGGATGGGCACAGACGCCCAGACGCCGTCCAATCAGCATCCCAGGGTCCAGGAAGGAGGGAGGGAGAGGGAGGGAAGAGAGAGAGGAGGAAAAAAAGAGGAAGAGAGAGGAGAGAGAGGGAGAGAGAGAATAAAAAGGGAGAGGGAGAGAGAGAAAGGGAGGGAAAGGAAAGGAGAGAGGGGAGAGAGGAGGTGGAGAAAGGAGAGAGAGGGAGGAGGGAGGAAGTGAGGGAGAGGAAGAGAGAGGGAGAGAGAGGAAGCTGCATCTAAAGGGGAGACAGGTCAAGGAGGAAGTGAGAATCTCTCAGGTAACAGCAACAGGAAGAAAACTACTGTCTGCATCAGGGACCAGCTCTGTGGGGAAATAGCACCTGGCATCCAGTCTCATCTGGAAAGTAAAGTTGGTGGCCCCTGCCCCGCGAGAAGGAGGGGCACAGCAGCAAAGCCCCCACCCCCCACTGTTAGAATACTCCACTGGCCTTCTGGGAGGCACTTCTGTAGCAGTTGTAGGCTTGGAGATGTGGGTGTGGGGGGCACACATCTGTCCTACCCCGGGGTCTGTCCTGGGTCTGTCTTACCCTTGGTCATTCTTCGGGGCCAGGTAGGGGACTGGGGTGGGGAAGATGTCGCTAATGCTGCCTTTTGAGGGAAAAACCTGACAAACACAATTAATTAGCTGGGGAACAATGTGCAGAGGTCCCGCCGGCCTCCAGGCTGCCCCAAGCCCCAGGCTCACACACTGCAGGCAGTGGGGCTCTTTCAGGAAGATTCTGGCCAGTGGGGGGGAAGCTTCAACGCAGTCTGACAGGGGCTAATTGGGGGCGGGGGCTGCCAAGGAATAGGGCTGTGAATGGACCACCGGCAGGGGCCCTGCGGGGAGCCGGGAGCCAGGGGGGCGGGGCGCGTCCCCCCAGCTGTCTGGAGAACTGGGGCGGCCACACTCAAGTCCACATTCAGGCCCAATGGAGAATGCAGGCAGCAGAGGGGGGAGTGAGCTGAGCGAGAGGCTGACCTTCCCTCTCCCCCGCCTTCCCAGGGCTTGAAAAGAGCTGGGGAGAATGGAGGGCCCTTAATCCCCCCACACCCCTTTAATCCTCCAGGTCAGGAGCTTCCCCCAGCCGGGGCCCTTCCCGGATCAGTTCCGCCTCCAACCCAGGTCCCCACCCAGGTCCCAACGAATCCGCTTGGCCACACCATATGCCTTCAGTATTGTCCCACCCCGTGGGGCTCCTTCCCTCCCTTAATGGGGGCAAAGAGTGAGAAGGAGAATTCTGGAAGGACCCAGGTCCCGGTCTCTCCTGCTGGCACCTCATGCTCACTCATCCCATCCCTACTGCCCCGCCTCCCCCATCACCCACAGGATAGAAGAGACACTCTGAGGGCCAGGGGGAGGGGCTGTGAGGGGGCCCAGAGCCCAGACTCACACCCTGTGCGAGTGGGGCGTGGGGCGTGGGGCGTGGAGCAAAAGGCGGGGGGGGGCACCCCACCTTCTGCAGCCTGGCCGGCAGAGCAGAAGAAAAAGTGGGGAGCAGGACAGGGCAGCTTGCCAGGAGGGGTGCGGGGTCACAAGTCGGGAATCCCAGAGTGGGACTCAGGGAGCTGAGATCAGTGGGTTCCACTGTCCCTCGGGGCTGGAGGGCTGGGGGATTGGGGGGAGGGTGAAGAGCAACAGCGCCCCCTCAGCCCTCTCGGGCCACTGCAGCTCCCCTCTGGCTACCTGATGGGCTGCCCTTCTGTACAATGCCACCCAAGGGACCAGATTTATGGGATCCCTCCAGGAGGACCCTCCTCAGGCCGCCTCATCCTGACTGTGAAATCCCAGGAGTATAAACAGTGTCTTATCCCCTCCCCACTTTTTTTTGTGTATGTTGGGGTCTCACCTGACAGTGCTCAAATGCTACAGGTGGGGCTTGGTGTGTGTAGGGGAGTGATCCAGGCCTCCCACAAGCAGAGCATGGGCCTCAGCCCTGAGTTCTCTTCCCCTCCCCAACAGTGTCCCTTTTCAGGGTTTGTTTTATTTTTAGGGTCACGCCCAACAGTGCTTAGGACTTACTCCTGGCTCTGCGGGTCAGGAGTGATGCCTGGCAGTGCCTGGGGATCACATGTGGTGCTGGGAATTTGAACCAGGGTCACAGGTGCCCCAGCCAAGGTAAGTGGGAGACCTCCTGGTCCTCCCTCTTAAACCTCACAACCACCCTAAGGCACATGCTAGGCTGCACTTTAGAAAGAGGAAGTGAGGAGTGCTGAGCTGTCAAGTCTGAATTGTTGGTAACTAGTGCTGATGGGTTCATCCAGGAAGAGGGCCCCGAGTCTTTCTTCTCCCCCAGCCTTAGGCTGCTACTAAGTATGAGAGACCCCAGTCCAGTCCTACCACTTATTTATTAGGGGGCCAGAGACAGTCTAGCAGGTAGGGCGCTTGCCTTGCACATGGCCGATCTGGGCTCAATCTTCGGTATCCCATAAGATCCCCTGAGCATCTCCAGGAGTAATTCCTGAGTGCAGCATGAGAAGTAACCCCTGAGCATCACCAGGTGTGGTCCCCCGCAAAAAATAGGGGCCCAAGAGATAGCACAGGAAGAAAAGTGATTGTACTGCACACAGCTAACCCTGGTAGAATCCCCAACATCACAAAGGGTCCCCTGAGCACTGCCAAGAGTGATCTCTGATCACTGAGCCTGGAGCAAGCCCTGAGCATGGTTGAATGTGACCTAAAAAAAAAAAAACCTGAAAAACCATT